CCCCTCCCCTGGAACCCCCTGGGTTTTGGTTTACCTTGTTTAATTCCTCTCGGGTTTTTTTTATGTCGTTATCATGTCTTTTTCCCATCTTCCTTCCCCCCAAATGTCGTCAAGTCGAAATTTTTTTAACCCCTCTTAGTAGGACTTTCCCCCTTTGCTTGGGGCTAGTTTGTTGCAAACCTTTGCACTTTCTCTTGTTTCTTTTTGTGCTTTTGGGGAGGTGTTGGGGTTTCCCAAAATGGTTTTCTGATACTCCAATTTGGACCCAAAGTTCACGGTGTAAGGGTCCTGAAAGATTCCTTTTTAAAATGTTTGGGGAAAGCTGTTCTTTTAAAGGGTTTTCTGGCGCCCCTATGCGCAGCAATTATTTTTGGGTTTTTGTGTTTTTTTTTTTTCCCCAGGGGAGTTGGCCCGGTGTTTTACTTTAAAACCCCAGATCTTTTTCCATGAGTTTAGGATTGTAGGGTTTTGGCCCCCCAGATGTACTCCCCTTGCGGGGTTTTTTTGGGCCCTTTTCCCAAAACTTTATGCTTTTGCACTTTTTTGGGGGTTTAAATCCAAAGGGGCCCTTTCTGGAGGAGATCTGCAGCCGTTTCCCGATCCTTTGTAGTTCTGCCTGGGTTTTGACCAGGTTTTGTGTGTGTGGGGGTGTGTGTGTGTGTGTGTGTGTTTGTATGTGGTTGTGTCTGGTTTTGTGGTGTGTGTGTGTGTTTGAAAGTGTGTTTTGTGTCTGTGTTGTGTGTTTTTTAGGAAACACAGAGAAAAATTCAACAGGGAAAAAAGGGGAAAAATAAATAAGGCTTTCATGTGCTGACCAACCCCACACACACGGATTCTGCGTTGAAAGCTTGATAAGGATTTATCGGCCCTACCCGAGGTGTACCTCGTCCCTATAACACGAGAAGAATTTGGGAGAAACTGAAAGAGAGGTTACAAAGTTTCAAGGAAAGGGAAAGGGGGGCAAGATGGAAAAGGGGGGGGGAAAATCAGGGGTCTGGAGGAATAGCAAATTTCACCCTCCTCAGAACCCCCTCCAAAGGGCCCCCAACCACGACAATTCCCCCAATGCCAAAAAAATAATGTAATTTTCCCAAAACCCCCACACGTTACCCCCTTTCCCTGCTTTTCCAAAAAAAATCCACCTTCCAGAAACCCCCAATTTTTTCCTTTGCCAGGACTCCCCCCTTTCCCCAACCCCCAACCTTTCCTCTTTAGACCCAGTTTTGGGATTCGATGTGGACAGATTTAAAAAATAAATGTGAGGTGGCTGAACGAAAAAAAGGAGATGTCTCCCCCAAAAGGCATATCACTCACAGAAACGAAACCCCAGGATTGGATTTCCCGTCCTGAGGAAAAAGAGGGAGCGGGGGGTAGGAAAAAGTTGCAAGCTCATTAAAACTAGTGGGGATTTTAGGAAATGGAAGGAATGGAAGGAGTGGAACTTCATTGTAGGAAACAATTTTAGTTTTTTGGGGGGCCCCTTTGAAAGGTAATTTTTAAAGGTGTACAACTCGCCCCTGAATGCGGAGGCCAAGAGAAGAATATTAAAAGAAAAAAAGGAAATAAAAGGTAAAAACCCCCGTTGAGGTGGCCCCGAGAGCCCCCACGGGGGAGTGCCAAAAACTAGTTATTTGGGAATTTCAATACAAAGGGGATTTACTGGGGAAAAAAACCTGGAGCCCATTTGGGGGGTTTTTTAAAAATGGAGAGGGCAGGTGGATGAAAGTGGTATTAAAAAATGTCATGTTTTAACATGTTTGGAAAAATATCAGAGAGGTGAGGAAAAACCCTTTAGTGTTCGGGCATCGAGGGGCACTGCAAAAGGGGCTTTGGGGGCCACAAAGGGGGAAACAAGAACAATTAGGGGGGAAAAATAATGGGTAATGGACCAAATTTTCCCAAGGAGAAGAAAAAAACGCCCCAAAAGGGGAAAGGGAAAGGGGAAAGGAAAAGAAGGGGAAAAAAAAAGGGTCCGGTTTAAATCACGAGTGTTTTTAAGTTTGGGAAAGGGAAAGGAAGGCATCTACAGAGACCTAACCAGAACTGGATTCATTTCAAAGGGGGTTTTTATTGCGAAGGACCCGTCAATAGGATGAAGGGGATCTCTTTCAAACCCGTCGGGATTTTTTTATTTCCTTTTGAGTTGATCTCTGACATGACAGAAAAGAGCATTTTTGGGGTCGGCAAACCTAATCTATTTTGTTTCTCCCTGAGTCTGTCAGAAAGGGGAAAGGCCAGTTTCTCCCAAAAATACTGAAAAGGGGAAAGGAACAAAAAATCTATAGGGAAACTTTGAGGAAGGAGGGTAAGAAATAGATTGGGGGTGAAGAATGTTAGTTGGCGAAAAGTAAATTTGATGGGTTTAAAGAAACAAGAGAATTGTTGAGATTAGAAAGACTGGAAATTTTTAGGGAAAGGCAAAAAGGGGGGGGGGGCAGGAGGTTCCCCGGAGTTGAAAAATTTGGGGGGAGAAGAAAATTGTTTTGGCGTGAGAAGGCAGAGTTTTTAAATGGGAAAGGTAGGCCCAAAACGGGAAAAAGAAATTTCCCAAAAAGTGCCGATTTTTGATTCAAGGAAATGAGGATCATAAAAAAATAGAGAGCACAAAAAAAAGAAAAAAGGGGGGAAAACGGAAAACTTTTTTGACAGGGAAACATTATAGAAAAGTAGTTTAATTTACATGCCACTGTGCATAGGCTTGCCGAAAAGTTGTCGAAGCTCCTCTCTCATATGTGCGGGTTATTTGTGTATTGATCCGGTCACGGTATTTTGCCTTTTTTGTTATTTAATAAGAGCTACATTGTCATTCTCTTCATCTTCATTGTCATCCTCATCATCAATGTAGATTAACAAGTCCTCGTCAACAGCATCAGCAGAATCTTCTCCATCCTCATCAGATCTCTCTGTACTTTCTTCTGTCTGATGATTCTCTTCTCTAATTTTTCTTATCACTAAGACAGCTTTGTCTCTAACAGTCATGTCTTCATCAGCACACATACCATGAAGCAGCTGATCTGCGTGAGCAAAGTACAAATCACTTTGGAGAGTCTTCTTTACTATCTTCTTTTCTTCACTGTTAAGATGTCTCATAAATTGCAGTGACTGGAAGACGTTCTTTGGACCGTGTCTGACATAAGGGTGCAGCTTGGTGTGGAACCACATTGTACCACTGAACTTTAAAATCATAATGACGACTCTTTTCAGTTCCTAACAGGATCTTGATGTTGCCACATGCAGCCTAAGGATCTTACTCCATAAAGTATTCCATCTTGACACACACGGTGGATCTGGTCATCATCAACCACACCTGTGATCACTCCTTCACAAATTCTATACAAGTATTTCTGGTCCCAGGACAGATCCTCTGCCACCTTGTTATTCAGAGAAGGAAAATCAGTGAAGTTGACTGGCTGGAAAGCAACAACTGGCAGTTCAGACAGAGGATCTTTGATTTGCTTGCGAATGGGACTTCTCCAATGCTCAGGACCATTTGGCTTACTGTCATAGTGGTAGAAAACAACCCGGAATGGCAGCTCATTTCTATGAAACTGACAGATGAAATATTGGAGCGGATGACCAAGTAACATTTCAGGATGATGAATGGCTCCATTGTCAGCTTTGACATTTATGTTGGATCCGTCACTACCAACACATTCAACAGGCTGCCGAGTTAGTTTCTGTTCCACCAGAAACGCATACATAGTCTTGGCAATCTCCTTTCCATGGCCTGACTTGAGAGTCACATGAGTGAGATATTCAGTGCCGGGCTCCACCATGATGACATAATGATCTTTCACCACTATCTTTGGACTCCATTTCTTGGTCTTTTCATTCTTTGTCATTACATGAGTGGAGTTCTTACCATCAAAAACAGTCATGTGATATTTTCTCCATTTGGTATTTGTGTCTGGCATCACGTAACTTCTGTTGTCCATTATCTTAACTTTTGTCGTCCTTGGTAATAATGCCATAGTCCACTAAGGTGGTGGTAGCAATGACAGCTCCAGCATAATCACTGAGAAAGTTAATGTTTATAAATACTTCAGAGAGCATAGATACAGTACATAAAACACTGCGCTGCACTACTCAGTAATATAAACATTCAAAAATTTCAGTCTCAAATGCTGTAGGCTAAACCTCAACCACTTCATATTTGGCACTGAATCTAAGACGTATATAAGGAACAATGCCTGAAGAGCGCAGCTTTGATCAAAATTTCAATGTATGTATATGTGAATCTCACATACACGCACATAACCAATACACACACACACACACAAATAAACAACACACACACACCCCCACATAAACAGCACACACACACACACACACACACACACACACACACACACACACACAACACACACACACACACACACACACACACACACACACACTACAACACCTAGCCCATAAAAAATAAAAAATGGGGCCTTAGAGGGGAAGTCAAAGACTCAGGGGACGAGAGGAAGATGGGCCTGGATTGAAGAATGGATTGAACTGCAATGTAAATGGATGGAACAAGAGCGGGAAAGCAAACTAGGTGAGCTTTCCACAAAAATGGAGAAGAGGCCGGAGGCAGAGAAAAAGAACTGGGAATCGTAAGCTGAAGCTGCGGGAGCCAAGATATGGGCCCTAGAAGAAGAAGTATGCTGAAGTGGGTTACAGGTCCAGTGCCCAGAGGAGACATGGCATCTCGAACAGGTACACCCCTATTAAAGGAAGGGTGCAAAGGAAAGGAAGGAGACAAGATTTACGTTAATGACCTATCTGGCCACCAGGCAAGACTGAGCAATAAAGGGGGTGAGCTGCTGGGTGCAAGGGCAGAAGTATGTGAGGAGGGTGCAGGTAGAGAAGGTGACAGGTGTCATGCACAGGAGCGGCCAGGCCACCATGAGTTACAGAAAATAGTAAGGGAGACGATGGTTATATACAAAATGAACCAGAGGCACGGAGTGAAAGGCAGTAGGAGGAGAAGAGGGAGAGGTCAGTCTTTATTCATGGGCTTCGGGAGAGTGAAGGGACGACTTGCAATGAAAGACAGCCAGAAAGAAAAACAAGAGATTGGAAATATCGTCAAACACATAGGCGAGGAGGACATGACCGAGATAGTAAATTCTGGAAGGGAAGAAATTGGTTGGTCAAATTGATTCACAGAAACAGTGAGGAACAGGATCCTTCAGGTGAAACCACAGCTGAAGTAATCAGCAACATGCAAGAGAGTGTTCTAGACTGTGACAGAACGAGAACAGAATGACAGCAGCCAAGGGAGAGGACACAGAAACGAAAGGGACTAGAAAGAGAGAGAAGGATATAGCTAGCAGAGAACAACCAGAGCTGGGCGAAGCAACAAGCACAAACAAGCATAGAATAACCCTCAGAACCCCACAGCCAAACGTACTATCCCAATGCAAACCACACTCCACACTCTCAGTCCCATCCCACAGTATGCAGTAGAATCCCATAGCACCATGCCATATCCCCCACTCCTCCAAACCCCTCAGAATACATTACTGGAGAGGAAACTGAAGATATAGTACACCAATCCTAATGGAATAACGAATAAGTGGGATAAGTGGCATGAAAGAATCAAAGCGGCATCCCCAGACTTCATAGCTCTCACAGAAACCAAGCTCACTGGAAAAATAACTGATGCCATCTTTCAGACTGGATACCAGATCCTGAGGAAAGACAGAAGGAATAGAGGGAGAGGAGGAGTTGTACTGCTCATCAAAAACCAATGGGATTTTGAGGAGCCGGAGAGAGGAGACAGAGGAGAAGCAAGAGACTGCATAGTAGGAACACTTCATTCTGGAGGTCCCAAGGTGGTAATTGAAGTGATGTATAACCCACCACAGAATAGCAGGAGGCCATGGCAAGAATATGATGAGAGTAGCAGAGTGATGGTTGACACACTGACTAAAGCGGCCAGAAGGGCCGATGTGGGCAGGGCAAAGCTACTGATTATAGGTGACTTCAGTCACAAAGAAATTGACTGGGAAAACCTGGATTCACATGGGGGCCCAGAAATGTGGAAGGTTGAGACGATGGAGGTGGAACTGGAAAACCTCATGTACCAACACATAAGAGACTTTACCAGAGAAAGAGGAGAGGACAGACCAGCAAGACTGGACCTAGTATTCACCTTGAGTTGTGTGGATACTGAGGGCATCAACATACGAAAGACCCTTCGGGGCTAGTGATCACGTGGTTCTGAGCTTTGAATACATAGTAGAGTTACAAGTGGAGAGGGAAGAAAGAAGGGCAACATGAACGAAACCAAACTACAAGAAAAGGGACTACACAGGCATCACGAATTTCCTGCACGAGGTTTAGTGGGACAGAGAACTGGCAGGGAGATCAGTAAATGAAATGATGGAATATGTGAAAAGAATATGCAAGGAAGCAGAGGAGGGGTCTGTACCTAAGGGCAACAGAAATAATGAGAAGGCCAAGACGAGCCCTTGGTTCACCCAGAGGTGTAGAGAGGCCAAAACCAAGTGTGCTAGAAAATGGAAGAAGAATAGAAGGGAAAGAGAATATGGAGAACAGTGGAGAGCCAGAAATATATATGCTCAGGTAAGAAAGGAGGCCCAACAACAATATGAAAATGACATAACAGCGAAAGCCAAGTCCGACCCGACGCTGTTGTACAGTCTCATCAGAAGGACAAAAACAGTCAAGGACCAGGTAATCAGGCTGAGGAAGAAAGGAGATGAGACCACAAGAAACTACCGAGAAGTAAGTGAGGAGCTCAACGTGAGATTCAAACAAGTGTTCACAGAGGAGACAGAAAGGATTCCAGAAAGACGGAGGGGTGAGGTACACCATCAAATGCTGGACACAATACACACAGCTGAGGTGGAGGCAAGGAGGCTGCTAAGCGAGCTAGATACCTCAAAGACGATGGGGCTGGACAACATCTCTCCATGAGTCCTGAGAGAGGGAGTAGAGACCCTCTATGTACCACTAACAACAATCTTCAACACATGTATCGAGACAGGGTAACTACCTGAGGTATGGAAAACAGCAAATGTATTCCAAATTAAAAAAAAGAGACTGACACACACGTGTCTGTGTCATTGGCACGTATAGTATGCAAAGTCATGGAGAAGATTATCAGGTGAAGTGTGGTGGAGCACCTAGAAAGGAATGATCTTATCATCGACAAACAGTATGAATTCAGGGATGGGAAATCGTGTCACAAACCTACTGGAGCTCTGTGACAAGGTGACAGCAGTAAGACTAGAGAGAGAGGGGTGGATAGACTGCGTTTCCTTGGACTGTATGACGGATTTTGACACATCAGTGTCATGGCACGTGACGAAGTGTCAAAATGGGTGCCTGTGACGACCGTGGTTCCACAAGGGTCAGTCCTAGCATGGGTTCGAGTCCTTGGCTAGTCGCAGTGTTGTTATTGATCAATACCACTCGCTCGTGGTTACTAGCTCGTTGGGCTAGTACACCATACAGGGAGTAGAATGAAATTAGCTCAGAGGCACCCACACCACCGTTTGTCCTCGGATGACGGTAAAACACCTAGCTTGTCCACGAGCCCTACTAGGGCGGGGAAGGTGACAGAGCCAGAGCCTGCTAACCACCTGCAGCTCACGAGACTGCCATTCCCACGAGCCCCCAGGGACGGAGAAGATGGCAGACCAGAGGTCTGGCTTCTCCCTATGAGTCCCTTGAGGGCAGGAAAGAGCGCTATGCCTCGGAACAGTTTTAAAATGGGGCGATTTACCCTTTTTGGGGGGGCCCCCGGGGCCAAAGCCTTCCCCTTCAAAGGGGGCCCGGGGGTTCCCCGGGGGGCATTTTGGAAAACCTTTCACTGTGTCTGTATATAGGCTGGTCCTGGGTTTAGCGCTGGGGTTTCCTCCTGGGGGCAAGAAGGCAGTTTTAAATAGGCAGTTCTATGACAAACCCCGCTTCTTGGGTTAAATTTTAAATTGCCTTACTGAAAAAAAGAAGAAAATTACTACCCCAACCACCTTTCCCCCATTTAGACGGTTAAAACCCCAAAACGGGGAACGTTAATTGCGGCCGGGGAAGTTTTCCCCATTAAGACAAAACAGCTGGGTCGATGGTATCTTGTAGTCGTGTTTTTTGGGGGTTTTAACTTATTTTTTTTAATAAAAAATTTTACCAGCTTAATGAAGTTTTTTTTGAATCAATAACAACCGGGTTAAATTAAATACTGCTCAGGGACTAACACCCAAAAAGGGGAAATTTAAAAAAATTCGGGGGCAACCACACACCGTATTCCTCATTTCGTAAAACCCCTTTCTGGGAAAAAAAAGATTCCGTTTTGGCATCTGGTTTTCTTCCCATTAGCGGGGAGGCGCATGGGGAAGGTTTCTGTGAGTCATTGGATTTAAATTAATATTTAATTTAAATTTTCATATATAAATTATGTAATAAATATTATAAAATTATATTATATTTGGACAACCCTTTTTCGATACAGGGCTTTAATATAAAAACAAAAAAAAAAAGGAGTCAAAAAAAAATAAGGTGAATTCAAAATAATTTAAATAACAAAAAATAATAAAAATTAATTATAGATTAAAAGATTTTAAATAAAGTATTTGATATTTTTGGGGGTGGCGGGGTCAGCGGAGGGGTCTATAAAAAGATGAGGGGGAAATCATAGAATTAAATGGGGGGAAAAAGAGTGAGGGGGTGCATTTTGGATCTGTGAGAAAAAGAACTTTGTCCTTGGGGGAAAAGAGGGGAATGTATGAGAGTATAGTTTTACCAACGCTTTTAAATGGGTGTGAAGCGGGGGTGAGGGAATTTTGCGCGGGGAAAAGGCTGGGGGGCATGGGATGTCATGTCTAAAGGGCAATGTGGGGTGTGAATATAATGCAGAGAATTTCGAAATTTTGGAAGTTGGGAGGAGGTGGGGGATTCCCAAAATTTTTTCCCAGGGGGCAAGGAAGGGTTTTTGAGGGGGTTTTGGGAAACTTGTAGAAAAAAATGGAGCGAAACAGAATGACTTCAAGGGGTGTTCATTGTAGGGGAAAAAGGAAGGGGGGGTTTTAGGGGTCGGCCTAAAAGGGGGTTGGAGGGAGGGGGGAAAGGGGGTTTTTGTGTGCGGGGGGTTTGGGGACTTCCAGCAGGCAGGGCCGTGAGCGTGTTTGATAGGGTGAATGGGACAAGGTTTTTTAAATTCTTGACTCCCTTTTTTGGAGTGTGAGAAAAGGGAAACTTTTTTGGAAGGGGGATTCGGGGAAAACCCGGAGGGCCGGACTTGAGCCCCGGAAATGGGAAGAACAGTCCCGGGCCCTCGAAGGGGGGGTGTTAATGTTGAAATTTTAAAAAACTGTAGTGTAAAGCACCCTTCTGGCGGCAGTGATGGGGGAATTTGATGGTAAAAAGTTTTTCTTTTTGGGGCCCCCTCCCTTGGTGGGAATGGGCCCGGGTGTGTTTAATAAAAAAAAAAAATTATATTATAAATAAAAAAAAACTTTAAAAGAAAAGATTAGACATTTCAACTTCCAATAAACAACCAGGACAGGTTATTGACATTGCTACAGAGGTGACTACACATCAAATGTCACTATTAAACTATTATATTCAGGAATACTGCCAATCCACTATTTTCAGCTTTTCATTTCTCTATTTCTGCTCAAAACACTTTACAATAGAAAAAAAAAACAAGATTAACACAGAAAAAAGCATTGGCATCTGAGTTTGCATTTGACCCTGGTAAGTATGCGAATAGTTGCGACATGAGGAAGTTGACCTCGTGATGCCTGAGCATTGGCCGATGTTAACGAGGTAATATCTGCTACGTACACACCTCACACATTATGTAAAGTTACTGTAGCATCCAAACTCACACAGATATCACAAACTTCATCTTATTCCTGCAGCGAACAAATGAACTTTTTCGATATAAGGTCATTGTAATAAAAATAATAATTACAACAACAACAACAACAACAACAACAACAAGCACAGCAACAACTGCTACTACTACTACTACTGCTACTACTACTGCTACTACTACTACTACTACTACTACTACTAATAATAATAATAATAATAATAATAATAATAATAATAATAATAATAATAATAATACATAAAATGTATATTGCATATTTGTGGGCTTCAGTTTGCACGCTGCAGTAGGTCAATGTTTTCGATATTGTTACAGTATGATACCCAGATTGCCAAATGAAGGTCACATTGTTCCCAGATCTATAGCTGAGAGGGTCACTGTAGCCAGTTAGTTTGGTACAATCCATAGATTGGCAAGTGAAGGGGTATATGCAAGTGGTACCCAGATTTCCAGATTTGGGGAATTTCGGACCCAAATAGCAAGGTGAAAAATATTGATTTCCAGATGGTCAGGAGGTCCTAACTGATGATTAGATATTAATGTAAATGAAGTAGACACATGTGAAACAGTTTTCTTATAGTCTCCTCTAAGCCATAATCATGACTGACGGCCACACTGGCGAGAGATTCATCTGTAAAAATTTGCATTTATGGTGCCAGTGGGACCCATGCTAACCTGTGTAACTAGGGTTATACATTTGTCTAATTCATCAACTTCTCGATATTGAATTGAAATGTATAAGAGTATCCTGCATAACATTCTATCATTATTTTTTCCTTATTGTTTGAATGAAGACGTGACAATAAGAACATATTCTTCCTGGGAAAAGGTCGAAGTCCCAAAAATTTCATCAGGTTTTCCAAATGAAAAACAATAAAATCACTTCTTCAAGACAAGCTCCTTAACATCTTTCCCTCATCTTCCAGTCACTTCTTCAAGACAAGCTCCTTAACATCTTTCCCTCATCTTCCAGTCACTTCTTCAAGACAAGCTCCTTAACATCTTTCCCTCATCTTCCAGTCACTTCTTCAAGACAAGCTCCTTAACCTCTTTCCCTCATCTTCCAGTCACTTCTTCAAGACAAGCTCCTTAACATCTTTCCCTCATCTTCCAGTCACTTCTTCAAGACAAGCTCCTTAACATCTTTCCCTCATCTTCCAGTCACTTCTTCAAGACAAGCTCCTTAACATCTTTCCCTCATCTTCCAGTCACTTCTTCAAGACAAGCTCCTTAACATCTTTCCCTCATCTTCCAGTCACTTCTTCAAGACAAGCTCCTTAACCTCTTTCCCTCATCTTCCAGTCACTTCTTCAAGACAAACTCCTTAACATCTTTCCCTCATCTTCCAGTCACTTCTTCAAGACAAGCTCCTTAACATCTTTCCCTCATCTTCCAGTCACTTCTTCAAGACAAGCTCCTTAACATCTTTCCCTCATCTTCCAGTCACTTCTTCAAGACAAGCTCCTTAACATCTTTCCCTCATCTTCCAGTCACTTCTTCAAGACAAGCTCCTTAACATCTTTCCCTCATCTTCCAGTCACTTCTTCAAGACAAGCTCCTTAACATCTTTCCCTCATCTTCCAGTCACTTCTTCAAGACAAACTCCTTAACATCTTTCCCTCATCTTCCAGTCACTTCTTCAAGACAAAACTCCTTAACATCTTTCCCTCATCTTCCAGTCACTTTTTCAAGACAAGCTCCTTAACATCTTTCCCTCATCTTCCAGTCACTTCTTCAAGACAAGCTCCTTAACATCTTTCCCTCATCTTCCAGTCACTTCTTCAAGACAAGCTCCTTAACATCTTTCCCTCATCTTCCAGTCACTTCTCAAGACAAGCTCCTTAACATCTTTCCCTCATCTTCCAGTCACTTCTTCAAGACAAGCTCCTTAACATCTTTCCCTCATCTTCCAGTCACTTCTTCAAGACAAACTCCTTAACATCTTTCCCTCATCTTCCAGTCACTTCTTCAAGACAAACTCCTTAACATCTTTCCCTCATCTTCCAGTCACCTTGACACCTCTAAGTACTTCCTATTCAAAACATTTTGAACTCCCCCTGTGATAAGAACTGTTGAACACCAGGTAAAAAAAAATATCTGTATATTACAGCCTCAAAGGCTCCTCTACTGAGGCGAGATCTATGACTTAGACTCAGAAACCTAAATCTCTTTTACATGGTCTTAAATTTTCAGTCCATGTGGTATTTCACTTTTCGTCACTTAGTGTATATACAATGTTAGTATACTAGTGTAGGTATTAAAGTATTTTTATATATCAGTGCGTGTGTGAAATGAAGCTCTTATGCAGCTTTTGTAGTCGATAGTCTCATATACTTAAGCTAAATTATCTACAATTATTACCGAGGATTTTTCCAATTAGGCTCGAGTACAGGAGGAGCTGGACGGTATATTTGACAGCGCTGACAGTCCCGTCACCTGGGAAGACGTTCATCAGTTGAAGTACACGGAGATGTGTATCAAGGAGGCGCTGAGGATATTCCCACCTGCCCCGTTTATCTCCAGAAAACTTGAAGAGGATGTTGTCATAGGTAAGGAAAAGACATCCAACATTGCTGAAGTAATTTTAATTCGCTTGTCACAGAGATTTTTCCTGGCACTGGCCATTGATAACTTATAGCCTATACGATGATTAAGCAGCTGCTAACATATCGGAGCTACTTACCTACGAATAAGTCAAAATGGCTTTCATGTTCATATTTCTAACACTACATTTCCCTCTTTTATTCTCCTGTGGAATTTGTGTTTTGGTTGTCCCTGACCTAATCACCTCTAGCTATCAGAACCATCACAGACTCATATTTTAGGTTATACACTATGCTCTAATTCTAATCTTAAACCTACTAGATGGTAATGCAGTTCCTACAACTTTTCACTTGTATTTACACTAAAAGTGCTGACAGACATTTATTTATTAGGACTTTATTGCGCAGTTCTCCTGCAATTTTCTTCTCAATACATTCATTTCCTTCATCCGTAATTTTTCCATCTAGTCTGACCTCCAGTTTTATGTCTTATGCTTGCAAATATTTTCATTACTTCCCTATTTTCTGCGTTCACTTTTAATATCCTTTGTCTACCTACTGCTTGAAACTCTTGCAACTCTCTTTCATTCATTTACTGTGATTTACATATATTCAGTACCTTAATACTCTACATTACTTACTAGCTTTTTCCTTTTTCTACCCTTTCATTACCTGCATTTGTGTTTGTTTACATCTCATTACTTTTATATGGAACCACACAAAAAAAGTTTACTTTTTCTTTGTTTACTTATCTGATTTTTTCTCAATCTCCGAAAAGCTCGGCTTCACCTACAAACAAAAAATATCACCTAATATTAATTTCAGTATTTGAATATAACACTCAGTCCTTCACTTCTCTTTTAACCACTTCTTTACACATATGAAACAACGGAAACAGAACCAGTGTCACACTTACCTCGTAAAAACTCATTATAGTTTCAATAAGTTACTACTGTTTCGTAGAGGATGTGATTTTGGTAAACATACCTCATCATACCCTGTCTGTTTTCAAGCTCCATAACAGCATCAAAGAACACTTTTTTGTATTTTAAAAATTGTTCATTTCCTCTCATTATTATTATTATTGTTATTATTATTATGATCAAAACTAAATACTAAACCAGCAGGGGCATGCAGCACTGCTGGGTAGAGGTTGTAAGGTCGGAGAAGTCTTCTAAACGAAGTATAATCAAAGGTTGTGTAATAAATCTGTTGCTGTTATATATACAAAGAAGTCTCTGTCAGAGGTGGAAGATAAAGTAATGGTGTTAGAGCGGTGACGATGTTGAAGATAAATTCTGCATGCTCGTTGATAGACTGGACAGTCCAGCAGAATAAGGCAAACTGAAACTGGAACCTGACAATTCACACAAAGTGAAAATGGGAAGCTCTCCATGAGATACCCATGAGTGAGACGTGTGGGCCCGATGCGAAGACAGGAAAGCACTGTCTCCTAACCATGACATCAATGATAAGAGGAAAACCAGGAACCTAAACTCGGCAACTCGGCTTGATAGAGTGTAATTTGTTATGAATCAATTCATACCAGCGTTGATGCTAACTGTTGCAAAGGTGGCTAGAGATTACAGCAAAATAATCTGAGAATGGAATAACTCTACGTGAAAATTAAAGGTCGTGTACTGCTGATTGAGCAGCAGAGTCTGCCTGCTTGTTACCCTGAACATGAACATGCCCAGGTACCCAGCAGAGTACAATTCCTTTGTTTTTGCTAGGAATGTGGCGCATCCAAAGTTGTATATGAAGAACTAGGGGATGAGGCAAATTAATTGTTCTGATAGCCTGCAAAGCAGTAAAGAATTCCGAGAGTACAACTATGAGGTAGGCCTGGATGCAGTGCAGATAATCGCTATGAGAACTGCAAACAATTCAGCTGTGAAGATGCTAAATCTAATAAATAACCTTGTACAACACTGTCATGAACACTGCTGCTGCAAACCCAAAAGAGTCAGAGGTTCTAGAACCATCAATGTAAACTGCAAAGGCCCGAGAATGAGAATGGAAGTGGTTAAGAAAAAGGGAGCGAGAAGCCACTGTAGGTATTTGATCTTTCGCACAAGTTGGAACCTCCCAAGGTAAAAAGAAAGGTAAGATGCTATATGTGCATATAAAGAGAAGCCAAGAGCAAGTGAAGACAAAGAGAAAAGGAACGGAGTAAATAGGGGCAGCAAAGTACTAATGGACCTCTACTAATGTCCGTTACTATCCTATATGTAGAAGTATCATGAATGTCATGAGAGGCAATGGGAATCATGCTGATAGTTCAAGGATGCAACATTAGTCTCTACAAATAGGCTGTCAACAGGGAAGGATCGAAAAGCACCTAGACATAAACGTAATCCCTTAAGATGGATGGACTCAAGTTTAGAAAGAATTGTGGGAGAGGTAGCAGAATATATCTGGTCGCCGTATTCTAGTTTCGATAAAATTATGGCTGAATGCAGTGGAAGGAGAGTTCGACAATCTCCCCCCCCCCCACCAAAGATGAGGTAGGGTTTTAAGGAGGTTCAGCCAGCTATGGCAATTTGCTTACAGGGCAGCAATGGGAGGTTTCCAGGAGAGCCAGAAGAAGGTCGCTGAGGTCAGTGGTTACAGCTGAGGTACCCTGAGGTCAGTGGTCGCAAGAGATCATTCTGTCCTAAACTGTCTGAGGATTAGCGTGGGGTGTTACTGAGCACCATGGCTTGCTATAATGTTTTAGAATCTCAGGCTAAAGTGTTATAGAAAAAGGCTCTACTTCTTCAGGAGAAAAATAGGAGGCTGAAACTTTGCCTAGATGGGTTTGGGAGTGTGAGATGGTTAGATCTGGTAAGGAGGAAAAGGTTACCAGCAATGGGTCGGAGAGTGGCAGCCGCATTAAATGGCAAGTGGTTCACAATTCAGGAAAATGCATCAAGATAAGGAACGATAATAGAGAAGATTTGAAGGTAGGAAATCGATTCTCTGTTCTCCAGGACGAGTGTACTTCAGTGGTCAGTGAGGTTAAAAGTACCATTAACCCCCCTGCTAATCTGGTTGTGGGAGACTCCCAGGTAAGATATATGGACTGTGCTTTTTGTAACAGAGATAGGAAGGTGAGACAGACAGGGTGTTTCCCAGGTGCTGGTATTGGTGACATAGTCAACAGGTTAAATATTATGTAATCTAATGGGAACAAGCCCATTGTCTGTCTTAGTGCTGGTGGAAATGATATTGGGAAGGGCAGGAGACAGGAGCTACTGGATAAGTACAAGTCAGCCATAGATGTAGTCAGGTCTAAAGGAGGGGTTCCAATCGTATGAAGCATTTTCCAAGAAGGAGAGTGGGCGGGAAATGAATGTCAGGGCCAATTGATATAAATTGCTTGCTAGACAGGTACTGCAATGAACTTGCAATCCCATTCATTGATAACTAGGACAAATTCTATGGCAAATGCGATATGTATGCAAGGGATGGGGTACATCTCTCTGGGATTGGAGTGGTTTCGTTATCCAACTCAACTGAGGGGAGCCATTGCTGACTTGTCTAGGAGTTTAAACTGATAGATTTTAGAGGACTGGGTGTGTGTGAGAAACAATCAGGCTGCATTACTAAGGTTGAAAACAACACATATTACCAGGGATATGTTTACAAGACAATATTCAAAATAAAGTTGCTAGTAAAGACAATAGAGGGCAGCGAGTAAAGGCAAAGTAAAGGCAAAGCAATTACTCAACAAAGTGAGATAGTACAGGGCAACGAGTGGCTAGCTCCCTATACAAATAGTAGGAGACCAAGAAATAAGATAGATGAGCTAAGATTACTTGCAAGTGCAGGTATTATAGATATTATTGCTATAACAGAGACAAGGTTCTACCTGAAAAGTAAAGAAATGCCTTCTGAATGCTAGATACAGGGCTATAAACTATTCCACACTGATAGCGTCAACAGGAAGGGTGGTGGAGTGGTGATGTATTCATAGATAATTTAAATTGTTGTGTTAGACAAGATGTAAGATTAGAAACATTAGACACAGAACCTATTTGGCTACAACTTCTCGAGGGCCATGAAGAAATAATTCTGAGTGTGACTTATAGGCCCTCAAACCTTGATAAGGAGAGCAGTAAGCTGCTATGGGGTGAAATTCATGAAGCATCTAGATAGGAAAATGTTGTATTAATGGGAGATTTTAACTTTAGACTAACTGGCTGGAACAATGTGACAGGATATGTTGAGTCTAGCGACTTTCTTGATACGAATCAGGGTTGCTTTTTAAAACAGTTTGTGACAGAGCCAACTAGAGAAAACAACCTGCTTGACTTGGTTCTTGCCAGCAGGGAATCACTAATTAATAATCTTGAGGTTAATAATGAGCTTGGGGAAAGCGATCACAAATAGCTCAGTTTCAATATATCATAGAATTACTGAAATAACTGTAATCAAGTCTCCGTCCCAGACTTACGCTTGGCCAGTTTCATGGGACTGAGAAATTACCCGGGTAGGCTGAATTGGAATGACCTAAGTATGGGCCAAGTAGGTGGTGATGGTTGCCAATATGACGTTTTTCAGATCAGAGTTCTAACTGCCCGGATAGCTTATGCTCAGTGTACGGAAATTAGATCTTACAAAATTTATTGCAGATGGATAAGCAAAAGATAAAAACATGTCATTGGTCAAAAGAGAGCCATATATAGGTATATGAAAAGAGGGGATAGGCAGTTAAGAGAAATAAAAAAAGAGAATAAGAAAAGCAAAAAAGGAATTATGAAGCTAAAGTCACAAGGGATTGGATGACTAACCCAAAAGGGTTATTTCGGGTATTCAGAAGTAAGATTAGGGACAAGAAAGGCCCACTTAAAAGTAAATCAGATCAGGTCACTGACAGTGATAAAGAAATGTGTGAAATTTTCAACACTTACTTCCTCTCAGTTTTTACTCAGCAAAATACTAGCGAAATTCCAGAAATAACAAATTATTTAGAACAGGACGATAATAAACTATGGACGATTGGAGCAACTAGTGACATGGTC